TATAGCATTTAAATTATTTTTTTCTTAAAATTTAAAGTTATCCAATACGTAGTGGCCAAGAAAATAAAGAATATTAAGCACTCAAGATTAATACATAAGAAAAATTTCCCAATACATGAACATAGCCCCACGGACAATTATTCGTCCCTACCTAACAATATAAATATACTGTAAACCGTAATATATTAATTTTCCAGCGGAAATCATTTAATTTTAAAACTATACACGCAAACTATTGGTTGTTGACTATTTTACATCATAATTTCCATAAATTTTTTGGTGATACAATTATTAATTGACTTTGAGAAATGATAATAGCATGTCGTTAGACCGTAATTTTCCCGTTCAAATATGTCCCCTGGCATATGCAATCTGGCCAATATGTCTTCTGGACAATGAATAAATCCTTGATAATTTTCGAATATAAATGGTAGGAATTTTCTTTTTTTAAAGTAGCGTTCGACATTCCTAAATAAATAAAAATAGCATTTGGTTATTTTTTTCCCTTTCCCTTTGCATTTATCATCGAAACGCTAATTAATAAACGTGTTTGATAAGATAGTATAGATAGATTGAGGCAATACTTATTTACGTTGCATTAGATTAGTTTTGTTATTATAAATAAAATCCATTATAAACATAAACCATCTACTTACTTTGTCTTCGTTTACAACATAAACGTTAAGAACTCTATATTAAATCGAATGCTCCTCTGTGACACAAACCCCCAAAAAATAAAAATGTCAATGAATTTTTTTTTTTTTGTTTAAACTATTCTTTTCTCAATTCATTCAAAAGATATTTCTTTTATCATAAAAAATGCCTAGTACTGTTTGAATGAAATTTTTTGAAAATTGAAAATGATAATTTTCGAAATTACAAAATTGCTTTCCTACTGAGTCCAAAGCGATCTTACATGAGATGAAATCATCATTTCAACATCAGGACTCGCTTTTTAAGTTGACGATATAACTGAATATTTTCCTGGAAATCGTCAACTTTTTTACCAAATGGATTGACAGAATTAAATCATGATAATGATACGAGAATTATTCAAAATACTTAATAATCAAATCGCCTTGAAAGTTTACAAGTAGTTCATATATCTATTCAGAATTCATCTCGAACCTCCAATCGTTAATGATAACTCCTGAGGAAACCATCTCAAATGGATTGACCGAGTTGATATCAGTTCAGAGAATTTAAGGTACCTGGACATATTAAAAAATATTTTGACGTGGATTAAATCAAAGTCAAGCGTTAATAATGATTCCACGTTAATTAAGTTGCATATTGACTGAAGTTAGTTTACCATTGTTAGCTATGATTTCCAAGCAAACAAATTTCATTATCATTTTATGAAAAGGACTTTGAAGATTTTCAACAACTTGAGCTTCCATAATTCAAAATCTTAGAATTTGAACTTAAATATTCTGATCCTAAATACCTAACCAAATACTTGGAAAATAATGGAAAAATTTAAAAATTTAGACCCTGGCAAGATTGGTAATGATTCGTTACAGCTAAACTCTTTCCGAATCTTGATATCTTGAAATCATAAAAAAAGTTTTGAAAAGTAGTAAACTATTAGAGAACGATACCATGGTAATGTGGTTTAAAAGGCCTTAGTAAATTATTCAAATGAAAGTTTCATTTGAATGATTAAAATTAGATTTTGGTCATTACATTTATCCGAACCTCAATCTTATTGGGTTAATATCTTTTTAAAGGTTGGGCGAATCGCTTACCTTGTCTTGTAATTCTCTCATTACGAATTTTTTGAATTTGGAAATGGAAGAAAAAAATGACGAAATCATCGAAAAGTTTAATAAAGTTAGACGTTATTAAAGAATTCAAAATAATTAATCTTGAATTAATTTCAAGAAAATAATGCTCGTTCTCTAAATCAAGATTGCCAAGTTAAAAAGGGCTTCAAAATATTACCTTAACCGGCTCAAAGTCCAGATCTCAATCCGCGTTATATCTATGGAATGAGGTCAAGAAGAAAATTATAGAGATTAAAGAAAAGTCGTTTAACCTCGATATTTATTTGCTGCCCAATAAATACTAACCGTCTAGTATCAATCTAAAGAATTTGGCTCTAAATAAACAAAAAGATGTTCGGTTGGTATTTTTTTTGGATAGTATTAATAACTACTGTATTAGATAAAGCAAATTTGTTTAAAAGATTTTTTCACTTGAGATTCCTTTTTCGGCTTGGATCTCTTCCGGAAGTATTAGACTGAGACGGTGGTGTGGCGGTAGCATTTGGAGCCTTAGTATATGTTATTATTATCTATAATTATATTTATAAAGGGAAATATGTTTTAAATAACCGATGAATCAAATTCTTAATTCGCTATAAATAAATTATATGTCTCTAATAAATTTATATACAATTTCTTTTCACTTTATTTTATATTTAAAATTCTGCAAATCGATAACTTACCAAGTTTCAAATGTAGTGACCCTTGACAAAATTGAAGTGTATGTACATATTAAAGATTTTTCAACTTATCAAGCAGTTTTTGTTTATTGTAAAGTTTTATGATTAATATATATTACATTCATTACGAAAATTTTATCTTATGGTATATATAAATATATTTCGTTTTATTGTTAAACCGGCCAATCATCATCAATGTAAATATAACCATTTGTTATTATGTAACATTGATTGATTACATCATGGTAGACTTACTTTGATATAAATATATCAACCTTTCCTTCTTTTTTCATTTTTTATTATGTCCACTTTCTTTCGTTCCTTTCTTTTTATTTTTATTTTTAAAATATTTACATCATCAAAAATTTATAACCGAATTTACGACTTACTTTAGTCATACGATCTTTATATAATATCGCTCATAACTTAAAATTTTAAAAATAAATAAAGATAGTCTGTTAAGGCTTGAGTTCTTCATATTGTAAGTGGACACAACACATTTACGACTAGGCTTGGGTATATTCGGATGAAGCGGATATGTCATTTAACACGCTTTACTTAATGAAACCAAAATTTGTTTGTTTTTATCCAAACAAATTTTTGCTGAAGGTAAATTATACTGTAATTTTATAAAAAAAAAATCAATGATGATCTGTGGCAGGATTTTGAGTCATCAAACATGGCAAGTGGACACAGTTACGACCAGCCTTGGGCATATGGTCGGATGAAACTGATAGATTCCCAATGTCATGTAACATGCGTTGATATGCCCCACACAAACTGAGATGCCATTTATTTGTTTCATCTAGAAACAAACCTTGTCAGTATTGCTACTATACTAACATGCATCTTTTAATGGACTTTGAGTCCAATTTTCCTTCATAGGAATGATATTTCAACTTTAACAAAAAAAAGTTGTAAAAAATTCAAACCTGAAATTTAACGACTGGGTTCAGGATGTATATATATATTTCCTTCAGAATGTGGGATTAACGATCATCCTCGTACGAACTTAATTCGAAAATTTGTATTACCGTCAACTGCAACGTGACTTTGAAAAATTTCAAGGCCTTTATAAAATATTTTATCTTGAAGGCAATTTGAACTCAAGTTCTACCACAGCAATTATATGTTATGCAAATTGGGCGAGCAAATTAATAATCTTCCTATTTATTATTTAGGTCTACTTTATTTATTTATATCGTTTGCTTACAGCATAATTTTTATGATTAATAACGTTTAAAAATTCATTGTATTTTCTTTACTGATTCCTTCATCCTACTTTAATATTTTATTTTTTTTTGTTGAGAACTTAATAAAGCATTTCTTATTGATGAATTTCAACATTTTCAATAAGTGATTTACCACTTCGCTTTCCGAGTTAAAAAACCAGTTTTGATTTAAACGGTTAAAAAAATAATCCCTTTATTTAAATTTTTTATTTGTTATGAAATCTAGCGTTGCGTTACTAAGTAAGTTCTTATAAGTTTATATTTATAAACGAAAATGAGGGAAGTATAAGGTTTTATTTAGTAATTATGATGCAAGAATTTATTTAACAATATCAAGTCGCCTCAACATCGGCGCTCTGACTTCCGAAGTCTAATTAATTCAATAAAACAAACTGCGGCTAGTTAAGATTATTCTAAAGGGGAAAATCAAGCAATTTCTAAATTAAAGATGCAATGCTATGTTGATCAAGAATCCATCATTTTTATATCTTCATTCCAAGACAACAAACTTGCTCACATTTTGATCGTTGATCGCCCAATCTATCAATGCGAGATATAAACTTGATTTTTTCAAGATACAGTTTCACAAAAATACATTTCTCTTTGGACCGAATCGGTTCATAATCCTAAAGACGTTCCTAAAACTGATCTTGAATTGGTCTGGACCAAAATTTAAGTTCCGGAACGGATTTATTAGATGGTGTCTTATGTCATATGGGAACTTTTTCAGTAAAATCAAGTCATGAGTCATAGTAAATCATATGATCCGTAATGTGATTTTACTGGAAAAGCTCCCATATTATAAATCAAAAATCATTTTAATATCATCACTCAACTTACTTTGTGTCGTAATTAGCGATTTTCTGATAATTTTCAAAGTATTTGTCTCGACAAGTTCGTTAAAACCTTTTCCGATATCTTTAATAACCTCATCGCTTAAGATTTTTTTGAAATCTTTTTAAAAGTTCTGTAACAGATTCCATTTGATTAAAATTTTTTTTACAAAAAAAAAAAAGGTCTCTTGTTAAAGGTTCTCCTTAACGCGTGATTTTCGATTATTTAGTAAACCTAGAATTCACTTTCCTTATAATTCAATTTACATAATATTAATATTATTTTTCATTGGATCTTTTTGAATTTTAATGCATTAATTTCTTACATTTGCAAATTTCAACTACAAGGATTTTTAATGTATTAACTTTTGGTGATTTTAGTTATCATATTGTCTTTTGTTGTACTTCTTTAAATTAACATTTTAGATGCGGATTGTAGATAATTTTACCATATCAATGACAAATTAATTAACATCAAGTCGTTATGGATCAGACGCTTGATACACACCACAACGAAGTTGATTTATTTTCTTTTTCAACACCTAAAATCAATCTATAATCACGAAGCTCACCATCAGATAAATTATTCACCTCCTGCGCAACAAAATACATCGACATTTTCTATAATCCATCCTGCCAGATATTGACATTGTTAAAATCAGTCAGTTGACCTAATCATACTTTCATCACCACAATCAACATCGACATCAACTGATGAATTTTTACCATCATCATCACAAACATCTTTTTTTTCTGTTACAATTCAGAAACGAAAATATAGGAATAATGTTTTATCTATTATTATTGATTTAGATAATGAATTCAAGGATTAGTCCGTATAAATACTTATTAATAGATACTATTTTATTTTAACGGTTAAAGTTACAATCACAATATTAGGAATACTGGTAACAACTTAATATACCTCCATATATTTGAATATTTCAATATCATCAAAAGTGATTTTACAAAATTATTTGATGAGAATCAAGTCATTTCATCAAATTACACAAGTGATATATTATGAACCTATTGAATTTGGATGTCAAATATCAAAAATAATCTTATTAAAAATACTTATATTTGCATATCATCTCAACCTTACTAATAAAAATTTTAAATAAGAACATCCAACTACATTAGTTATATTATCACATTACTGAAGAAAACAGAATCAATAAGTTAATTTATCTAAAAAGTTATGTATAATTTATTACTATAACCAATATATAATTCCAGAAAACAGAATAATATTTCAAAAAGAAGCTTTTTAAATATATGAATTTTGAACCTTTCATAATTAATCCCAAAGAAAGTAAATAAAACAATAAGACTTATGATTCAAAACTCCTTTCATATTATTATATAACTTATATAGATTGTAATCTAAGAAAATCAAGTTCTGAGAATTTTTTATCAAATTGAAATTTTAATTGCATTTTAATTTTTATTACATTTAAATTAAAATGTAATAAAATATTAATTTTAGTCAAATATTTTTCAGAGCTTGATTTTCTTAGATCACACCCTATATTAGAACCTGAAAGAGATTCAGGTTGCTTTTGTTATTGTTATTATTATTATTATTGTTATTCATAAGTATCGAGCTATAATCTCTTTACTAGTAATGAAGTTGGTCTATTAGTAACTAGCGAACTCAACCATTCGCGAATATTAGGCTTTTTTAACTTGTTTGTATTTTTAATCATTTTTATAAATAGAGTAGAAGAATTTAAATTCAATTTATTTATTTTTTTTTATAAATAAAAATTTACATTTTGATTGGATAATCATCATTATAAAATTAAAATCACATAATAATACGAAAATTCATTATTGACAGTTTTTATTATTCAAATTATATGTTATTAGTATTTTTTTTAAAAAAAAAACCACCCTCCTATTATCACATTATTACCTATTATTATCATTAATTAAAAAAATTATTTTTTTTAATGTAAAAAAAAAAAACAAACCTATAATTACTAATTAAAAAAAAACCTTTTCTTAATAAAAAAAACCCTCCTATTATTATTAATAAAAAAAAAAATTTTTTTAACAAAAAAATCCTTCTATTATTACTAATTAAAAAAAACTTTTTTAACATAAAAAAAAAATTCCAATTTATATGAATTTAAAAAAATAAACTTTTTTTTTTAATAATTTAAAAAAAATTTCCCACTCTCCTATTTTTACTAATTAAAAAAATTACACCCTCCTCTTATTATTACTAATTAAAAAAAAAGCTTTTTTTTTTATGTAAATAAAAAAATTCTCCACCCTCCTATTATTATTTATTAAAAAAATGTGCATAAAATACATAATTTATGTAAATATAATCATGTTAAAATTTATTGATTGAAAAGAGATATATGCATCAAATAAAATAACATATGTTGAATTATTTGCAATATTTTTTCCGCTTCTTGATGGTATTAGAATATCTTTTGTTAATTGATCTAGCTTTTTAATGCTAAAAATATCTTTACTATTATAATGAAATTTGAAACTTGTTATTATAAATCCCGTTAATTTATTAAGTCCACCATTACGTTTCAACTCAAAAATGTTAGTAGCATCAAACTGGCAACTTAAAACCTTTTTTGTTATATTATTAATTATGTATTCCTTTATTTCAATTTGAGTTTAAGAAATTACACTATCAAATAAAATTTTAATATTAGAAACCTTATTAGATCAATATATATAAAAATAATAGAATACCTTATATTTTATAATCATCTACAAGCTTTATAATATGATCATTATATTTGTTTCGAAAATTGGAAAATAAGCTCTTTGTACGTTTTAATAAATATTATACTTGATCGCTATAATTTCAATGATAAAAATAATTTATCATATTATCTATAGCTTCATTAGATAGATTTCTAACATGGAGAAACAAACATTTGATTGTTTCATCCTAAAGACGATATTTTTGTCCTAAAGAATTTAAAATTGTTAGATGTTAATTATAATTTATAAAAGAATTAAAATAAAAAATATGAGTAAATTCTTACATCATCATTGCTATTAGCAGAAGAAGTATCACAACCAGAAAAACCATTAGAAAATCTTCTGAAATTCCTAGCAGAATTCCTGGCAGAATCTACAGCAGAACTCCCAATAGAAAGAAGATCAGTGCCATCAAAACTAAAAATATCAGAAAAGAAGTCTGATAAAGCTTTTTTGCATCCAACATTTGATTGGCTAATCGTAATATATAAAAACATTCTACCAACCACGTACAAATTTCCAAAGTATTAGAAAATTGTTCAAGGTCTTCTAGAAGATTTTGTAGCGACAATGTAACTTTATTAGAAGTTTCAATTGATTTATCTTATAAATAAAATAAAAATTAAAGATTGCAGTTATTAAAAATTTAATTTATCCAAAAATTGCAGATTTTAAGTAATTTTTAAAAATACCTAAAATAATTGAAGGTTCGTCTAAATCATCAAGTTTTTGCTTATTATTATTTAAATCTTCGTCAGAATACTTTCTGACTCTTTGATTATTATCTGTTTTGGTGGTATTTTTTTGGATACCATCATTTTAATATGACCTTAAAAAATAATTTATGAAAATAAATTTTATAATGTACAAAGTAAAAAATTATACTTATTCGTACTCGTATAATTTTACTTAGTTTTATGCTTGCTATTCATGCTTTTAGAATGAAAAGAGTAACGAGGGAATTATAATAATTGTTAAGGAGAAATCATTGTTACAATAAGAAAAAAATTCAGCCAATGTAAAAATAGATACCTTTTATATCTTTTTAAAGGGCTGTACACAAAAGCTGTATACAAAAACTAAGGCTGTATATAAAAACTGTACACAAAAGTTACGTAAAAGCTTTGCATAAAAATTTAATCAATAAAGAGCTGTACATAAAGGCTGTGTATAAAGGCTGAATACTGCCTAATAATCTAATCAAAAAAGATTCATTAAATCTGATTAATATAATGTTTAAATCAATTTAGTTTTTATTAAAAAATGCGATTTGAATTTAGTAAATTAATTAATGAAATTAGGCAAATTTGAGTTTAAAAATATGGATGGAAAATTAGCAATTCAAACTTGGATTAGTTTTAGAAAACTGGTCTGCGAATTGGTTAATTAACCAGTCTGTATAGTTTATGGTTCATAATTTTATAAACACTTCAAACCAGTTTATATAAAGGTCATGAAAGACTATGCATAAAGGCTAAATGATGTATTACATTTAAAGTTACATAAATCACAAAAGATATTAAAAATTTTTTATGGTATTTTTTTTGTTTCAAAATGTAACGAATTTAATAGCAGGAAACATTTTAACAACAAAAGAAATTGATTATATATGAAAACAGCTAAAATAATGTTATAATCAAAAGGTTAGTTTCGTAATCATGATTAATTAGAAAATTATCATGAAACTGCAATATATAATTTTGTATTATATAAAATGGTAAAGGAACTAAAAAAAAATCCTTTTATTAATATAAAAAAGCAGTACAGTAATAAATAAAAAATTTTCATTTTACAAATTGATAAAATTTTATCATAAAAAATAGTATTAAATAAGTTCTTCAACTCAACCGTAACTTCACCGTGACTTTTGGTTTTTTATTAATAATTTACCACAACAATACCAAGTAAATAAATTTTAAGTTTTATAGCATAAAAAACCTTATTTTTAATTTATATTATCTAATTTCTATTTCTATTATGCAGTTTTAACACATTTTTGTTTAATAATCATTTTTAAATTACAATGACATGGAAAAGTATGAGATAAATAAGATTTTAATTGTAATGATGAAAATTTTCAATTGCAATAACGTGGAAAAATATGAGATGAATGAGATTTTAATTGCAATGATTTCAGTTTTTCAATTTTAATGACATGGAAATAATTAAATGTTAGGAAATATATTTATATAATCAATGATTTTGTGAATATAAAAGGAAAATATTTTTCTCGTTATCAAATAATTCAAATTAATTTTGCAAAAAAAAATATGTGGACAGACAAACAACTCAATTTGCTTATAAAAGAAAGAAAAAAAAATAATAATAAATATCATGATCTTGTTGGGAACGGGAGGATGAATTTTTGGAAGGGGATTACGTCGAAGATTAATTTGAAGTTTGGGATAGGGTATTCAGAAAAGCATTGTAAGGAGAAGTATCAAAGTTTAATACATTCTTTACAGAAACTCAAAAAATTCTAACGATATAGATTTGATATCGAATCTATATCATTATGATAACTTTACCATACTTTGACGATAATTGAATCGAGGTCGTTAAGTTTATCTTTACTATATCATTTCAATGTAAATACGATATCAATACGATATCGATAATAATATCAAAATGGTATTAAAATGAGTTCAATACAATATCAATACGATATTAATATCAAAATGGTATCGATACGATATCGATATTAATATCGAAATGGTATTGATATGATATAGATACAATAAAGTTACGATGTCAATTCGATATCATATT